CTCGGTCCAGCGCGCGGAAACGTAATAGCCGACGTTTTGCCCCGGTTCCAGCCTCTGGAATCGACGAGGGAACCGACTTCGCATCGGCGCCGTGTCTTTTCCCGGACGGTCGTTTACGAGGTAGCGATCGCTGCTAATTCATACAATTCCTTCATACAATGTATCGTATATTAATTTATCGGACAGATCCGCGACTCGCGCGTCGACCGATCTCGTTACCCAAGGACCGGCAATTATCAGCTATCCTACCGCGAGGAAACGAGAAACGAGGGAAAAAAATGTAAGGGCAGAAGTCTCGCTGGAATGGGACGCGAGGGGATTCGTATCTGCGCGGCGTTTCTTTATCAGCGGCGAGCAAGCGGCAATTTTCGGAGGGCCCCGACCATGGGACGCGTGTTTTATTGCCCGAAAACCGACAGATATCAGGATTATGTGTTCCGTCGACGGGTATACGACGCGATACGCCGAGGGAACCGCAGACGTTCTCTTCTGCTCGAGCGAGCTCGCGATCCTCGGATCCGAGTCAAAAGAAATCGTGTAACGTAACATTTTCGAAGGCGTTCTCGCGACAGTTTAATTTCCTATCGTTCCGCGTTTCGCCGGGGGTAGCGCATAAAAGAATGGACGAGACTCGGGAAGATGAGGAGGTTCCACAGTCGAATGAAACGTATCACGTTAAATATAATGGACGCGAGTGCCGATGGCGAACGCGGTGGTGGCGGGGTTCCGAAATACGTTGGCCGGATGGTTATCGTCGTGATCGGCGAACCGATGAAATAAGACTAGAGCCTTTCTAATGCCGGGTTATTTTTTTTAAACGATCGGCCCGGACTTCACCTGTGCGTACGCCGGCGTCGTCCCTCCCTCCTGACTCGGGGTGAAACTATTTTGACCTTTTTCGCGCGTAGACCCCGAATCGAACCGAGGAGGGTAATTTCGATTCGCGTACCTCATCCCTCGTCTGAACATTATTCCCCCCGTGAAACGGGCGCGACGTCTCGCAGCGGAGGAACCGGTGTTTCGTGTTTCCCATTTCGGGGCTCGACGCGCGTACAACGATTTCGTGAAATATTCATACGACAAGGAGGATGTTTGCTCGGCTAAAAGCAGAGCATTGTCCCGATCTCTTTTTCCTCTCGGCAGCCCGTGGCGTTCTTTACTGTTTCCTCGCCCACCCCCTACGCATGGACCACTCGGTGACGTTTCATTTTTCCCCGAAATCCCGGAAACGATCCCGCGGGGGGACGAGGACACCCCGCCAGGCGCGCCAGAACTGTTTTAGCTTATCGCGTTTAATACCGTCCACCCCACGAACAGCATCATCCCTGGGGAAACATACGGCAGCTTAATGGTGATTTTTTGCCGACCGTTTTCACACCTCGGACGTGTCACCACGCGGTACACGATACGCTTTTTTTCTGAACGATTCGTCAATAAAGATTCCTCGAACGATTGGTTTAAGAAGAAAGCTTTCACGCGTTCCATCCCCCTTCGCGTTCTTATCGGCGATACGTTCTCAAACTACCAAGTCTTTTAAAAAAAAAAAAATTAGAATCGACAGTACTTGTGAACAATAAAATCGAAGCGATGGCTCGTACGATGATTAGAAACGAGATAAGTGAGATGGGAGCGATCGGAAAATCGGTTGTTATTAATTTTTCCTAAACAGTTGCCGGTCATCGACGGAGTCGGCCGCGGGCTAGAAAGGAGCGAGTGCTGCAGGTGCCGGGAATGGTCAATATAACGTCAAAATGTAAATCATATTGCTATTCCCGGAGGGCCTGTTCTCTCCGTGTATTAAACGCGGCTCGGGTAAGACGACCGGCCTGTATATTAGTTTCTGCGGGTTTCCCTATTGGATTTACCCCGTCGCATTTCCCCTGATTGTTTACGCGACCCGTCCCCGTTAATTCCCGGAGACGGGGGGCTGACGAGCCGGGAATCGAGCGAATCTTAACGATCGCGGAAATGCTCGGATCTTAACGGGCAGAAGAATCGGCGACTTCTGGCCAGTAGTGTACTCCCGGTGCTCCTTCGAGATCTCGACGATTCCGGTCGTGACAGCCGAGATCGATATCGGGAGAACGGAATCTCGGGCGAGCGTTAAACGTAGGCGGACGCGTCTACGGTCTGCGTGAGTCTTCGACGTGGGTAGTCCGCAGACAGCGACCGGACGATTTCTGACCGAGCGCACAGCGGTAGCTGATGTATTTTGACGTGTCCAGAGAGCAAGAGAGACCGCGCTCCCTCGACTACCTCTTCAATTATTATATAAAACATATCTACTGGTCATTATTACACACTGGATTTTACACAACTTCTAGCGACGTATAAAATATATAATTCAGAGATGGGAAACCTTTTTACCATTAGAGGCCACATTTAAATTAGACAGTAACAAAGGAGGCCGCTATAAATTTTTATATCTCACTGTTGGTATTTTTATTTGTTTAAAATATAAATAAGGCCGCACCTCTGGTCTAATTGCATTTTCCAATCTATGCCGTAATCATCTTTTTTTTGCACAATGATCTGAAGTCTAGCTATTAAAAAAGAGGTTTCGGTTTTCATAGACCATTTTCGTAGCGACTGGCACATATATTTCTGTGACTGTTCGAAGGCTCTAACGATGTTTGGCCATTATCGGCAGAGACACAAAGCAGTATCCGGCTGCTCTACTCCCGGCTTCGATTTCGTAACCGTAACCGCGGTTTTCCTTTTTTTCCTGGACGCGTGATCGACTCAGTCGCTCTAATAGGCAACGCTAGATCTGGCCTTCGCGCAGTTTGCGGTTCCATTGCGCAGGAGGCTTATCGATACCGATCAGAAAAGGCGGAGAGACGAGGACTGTCCTCCCGTACTCCCCCGAGAAGGAGAAACCGCTGCGTACCGGTGGTTGTTACACGGCTGTTACGCTCGAGCCGAGGCAGAACCAACGGAGACACCGTGTCGTCCCCCGAGACGTCCAAACTATAGTTTTAATTGAATCTCAGAGGAACATAGTTCCGATAAAATTTTACGACGATCAGAGAAGTTTTCCGTTCGAGTCACGATTAAGACACGTGAACGGTCTCATGTTCGAGCCCGTTAAACCGATTCTCGTTGGCAATGATCCGAGTGGGACCGCGATAAGAGAGCAGGACAGCCGGCGTGGCCGGGACGGAGGTAAGGTCGGGTCTCGGAATCGTAGGTGGAAATCGGTGCCGTGGCAGGCAGGCCCCCGGTTCTCGGCAATTCTTCGGCGAGCTCGCGTGTATCCTTAGTATGCAACGTATGCAGTCGGTTGTTACCGAAGGAGTGGTTTGCCGAGCGGCCAATGGCGAGTGCTCGAGCTAATTCTAGGGTGCCGCAGCCGCGCCATCTTTGCATCATAATGCTGCGGCCCCCGCTAATCCCCTCGTACCCCACCGTGCCGCTCCTACCCACCGGACTCGGGAGAACTCACCTTCCCCCCTGTTCCACCTTCTGTCCCACCCGCCACCGGCAGTACTTTGCCTCGTTCCGCGTCCCTCCGCCGCCTCCGTTCGCCTTTCTCTTCGTCCTCTTCCTTCTGCCTCGAGCTTTCTCCTTCACCCTCGCCCGTCTCTTTCCGCGCACCTTTCAGTCTCGCGAAGACCAACGGACGAAATGTTCTTCGGAAATCCGAGACAATTTCGAACAGGATGACGCGGGGTATCGAAGAAAGGGTTGCCCGTCCACGAGAAACGATACACGACCGATCCGTCGGGAGGAAAACATCCGAGATGGCAAATTAAAATATAGGGGATCGTGGCAGTCAAATGATATATCCCACGGATAGGCGACCGTCTTATAATGAGCCAGTTTTTGCAGCAAGTATCCTCGACACCTTTCCCTTAATAGCATCCTGCTTAACCGGTAGATCGGTCAAAAATGACGATGCACTTGTGCATCGGTGGCCAACTCCCGGTGACGAGACTAATTGGACGCTAACTACCGACTTCCACCTTAAACACAGGGTAGGAGTTTGCTCGTGTTCCGCGAAAACCGGCCGCGAACCTTACACAGTCGGGAACGCGCTCGATCCCGATCGACAACCAAGCCCGGTTTCGCGAACAGAGATCGGGCGCCGAAAGTCCCGGGAGAAGAAGCTAATCCGAGACACAATGGCCGGACGCGGCGCGGAAAATAATTAAACCGGGCAACGGGGCGATGGAAGGCACAAACGCGTCGGCGAACATGCCTCTCGATCGTTTGTTCGTGATTCGTTTCCACAGATCAGATTTCCTGTTCTCTCGTGTAATCCAGACAAGATCGTTCGACTCGAACAGAGAATCTTTCCAGACTTTTATCAGTGCTTAATGAGGTATCAATGAGGTTCGGAACATTGAAAAATTCACCCTCAAACGTAATTGATCATTGCCAAGTGTAATACACGACACGGTCGAGCGCGCAGAGGTCCGGCGCGGCGCGTTCGGATAGAGCGATCAACGCTAGCAGCTGACAGGCGGTCGCGAGAAAAAATCGTTCGCGTTTGCAAATGGTGCGGAACCGGTTTAACCGGGGCACGGCCAATTCGTAGATCGATCGATAACTAGATCGTGGCGATCGACGGACGTCGATCTTCGGTGGAGAAGAGCGGCAGCGGGCCAGGAAGCCGACAGCGGCGTACGGTAGCGACCGAGACGATCAGACCCCTGCTTGGACGCGTGTTCGAGGTCCGAGGCCCCCTGCGCTGACCGTGAAACCCCCCGCGGTACAATGATACGCCGAGATAATTTCGTTGGACTTTGACCGCGCCGGGGTTCCGCCACCTGGGGAACGGGAACCGTCCCGTTGAGCCGTTTTGACAGGTGTCCGTCGAAATCGTTTCGCAGAAACGCACGCGACTCTCGTTAAGTAATGAGAACGATTTCTGTCAACGCGGTAGAAACCGTTTGATCGAACGTGATGAAACTACAAGAAGACGACAATTGATCCGTGTTCGTTTCGACAGCGTCGTGTCAGATGATCTTCAATGTTCTTAATGTTCCCTGTTGCAGTGATGTACCAGAAACGGTTAAAGAAGGAACGGAGGGCAAGGAAGCGCCTACAGGAGCAGCTGGACCTGGAGATCAAGAGGCGCACGCAGCTGGAGGAGGCGTTGAAGGCGACGGGAGCCTCTTCCGAGCAAGTCAGAGCGATTACCGGTAAGTATATATTCATCCCGAGCGAAAATGGAGCGAGAAAAGAGAGAGAGGCGACTTTGATGGCGCGTGCTCGCTCGAGGATCATCGGCGAGAGCGAGAAGACGATGATCTCGCAGGAAACGGGAGCGTTACGTTTCCGAGACCGTCTCCCGTCGAGCCTCCGGGCTACCGGTGATCTCGGAATAAATTAATTAATTCGCCGAGCCAGAGTAAACAGTCTGACACCCGGCAGAATACGATTCCTTACTTATCCCCCGCCGCCGGGAAGATCTCACGGCCCTTCCCGCGAGGTCCTCTCGATGCTCCTCTCTCTGCTCGGTTTTAACGCGATCCGATGGGAACGAGACGGGCGCAGGCAGCGAGTGGCACACACCGCGACCGACCCCTCCCGTCCTGTCACTAGCAAAACTCGAGCGCGGGCACGAAACCCTTTAAGTGAAATCTCTTATTCCGATATACAACGCCGCGGTATACAGAAATTCCGAGTCGCGACAGCCAATCTCGCTGCCATAGTCGTTGATTAACCCTGTCAGAAGCAGAGAGTAGCGATACTAATTCCAAATGAAGCACGCGAGGGGTCGTTACCTGAAGAGGGTTCTCGATTTTTGGCAGCGGGAAGCGGATTCTCGGCACGATACGCTTCGACGCGAAACAATCGTCAAACGATTTTTAGTATCTTATTCGATTACAGAGAACGTAACGGTGGAGGCTCGCACGAGTTCCGAGCCGCCGGAAGCTAGTCCAGTGCACTCGCAGTCGCAGCAGCAACCCTCGCAGCAGCAATCATCTCAGCAACCCCTTCAGCAACAGCAGCAGGCCCAACAGTATCGGGAGGCCCAGGTACCGCGTCCCTCCCAGCAACCCTCGACGCCCGAGAAACCGGCATGGGGCTACGGTTTGGACCTGATCGGCAGCCAAGCGTCCGCCTTCTGGCAGAACTATCAAGGTCAGTTCGCCACGCCACTCCGATCGCGCTGACACGTCCGTTGACGTCCCTTTTGCATGATAATGCGTCCCTCACTTTCCACAACGGCAGCGAGCGTGCCAACCGCGCGACGAAACGACTGGAGGGTCACGGTTTCGCGAGAGGCAAGTTATCTTTCCGCGTCGACTCGAACCCGAGAGGGCAAAGAAAATAAGCCGGCGAGTTAACAATGGGTATCGAGCGAAATTTAAGAAAGGAGCCTCGCGGGCACCCTTCCTTCTTCTCCTCGGAGGCAGGGCGAACAGGGTTGCGCGACCGCGATGAAAAGAGGGCGTGCTTCGTGGCGAGCCGCTAATTCGGATAATCGCGTTCCCGTATTAGGATCCACTCAATTTTTCTGATCTTCCGGCCGGGTGACTTCGATCCTCGATTACCCAAACAAAAAAGAGCAGAACCTCGGCCGGATGAGGGTCGCGAGAGAGGGCGGATATGGAAAGGAGGCTGAGGCGGTGTACGCTGCCTCGGTGTATCGTATCGCGCAAAGTAAATTATTCGAAAGATCTCTGGCGGGCGGGGAACAATCACGCCGGGGGCAATAACAACCCCGTAACACGCGGACGGAGCCAGAGTCGGTTCTGACGAGGAAACACGAGGTATTTGAATAGGGTCCCGCAGCCACCCGGGCATCATGATGCGGAATCCATTTGCAATAAACAACGGAGATTTAGATGGGGTGGGGAGGAAGAGCATAGGTCGACGTAACGTCGTCGTCGTCTGAGGTGGGTACTTACGCCGCCGAGGGGACTTCGGGGCCGCGTCCCGTCGCGTCTTCGAGTCATGCATTCTATACGAACAGAGCTTCTCATTCTCATCTGTAGGCAAATCCGGAGAAACGAACAACGCGTCTCGATCATTGAACCGACGAACGAAAGGATATCGTGTCGCGTACAGAATGATTGTAAAAAGTTTCCGATAGATTTATCGGCGGTAAAGGGAGACCAGACTTTGTTCTCAAAGGAGCGCGTCTCGATAAACGATGGAAGGGAAACCGGTAAGAGCGGATCGCGGTAGCATTTAATAGACGAGCAGCCGGCGGCGGCCGGCCGAGTTTCGTCTGACCCGCAGGCACCCGATCTCCTTGCTCGTTACTCGCGGTAGCACAGCTTCATGTATGAGCGCCACTGAGCGTAATGCAGAGTTTATGCACATCTCTCGCAAGTAAGGAAGGAGCCGTAATTTCCCCGGCGGCCACCGCGGCTCTCCGTGACGTTACCTGTCCTCCGTCTCTTTCTCTCTCGTCGCCCACCTTTAAACCCCCCTCACCCTTCCCGATGAGTCTCCACCTATCTCTCTGTCCTATCCCGCCTCGTTTTGTCTCTTGTCCCGTCCCGGCGTCGTCGTCGTCGTCGTCGTCGTCGTCGTCGTCGCGTCATGCACGAGTCCGTGCACGAGCACAAGCGCAGACGCGACGATTCCTTCGCGTCCATCATCCCGGCGAGTACGAGCGAGCAGCACTCCGCCACGCTTTAATATTCAGACTATATGCAATAATTTCGCAGCAACCATAACGTCTGCCCCACCCCTCGACCGGCTGCTCTCTCGCGACAGAGACGTGCGCCTCTTCGCGTTCCGTTCCACCCTCCTTCTGCCCGTCGTTTGTTTCCTTCCTCGTTCCGCCGCGCCGCGTCTTCCATTTACTCTCTTAAGCCTCGCGTTTTGTTCGTCGTACCAAAGGCGAGACGTGGACATTAAAATGATCACGAATTCCGAATTAGCCAAGTTCGCACGATACCGAAAACTGATCCGGCATTGAACGAGCGTACGGTCATCGTTTGGCATTGAAATATCCCGGTTAAACGCTTCGGCGGAAAGCGTCGCGGAATGTGCGTGCACGAGTTTCGACGTTGAATCTATTACACTCGAGAAACTGCCGACCGTAAAACCGGAACGAACCATGAAGTAATACAATGTACGGTGACTGGTTACACGATGCAAATTTGTATCTCGGCTGAATATCGCTCGGGCAACGGAGTGCGAAGAGAAAAGACAGCGACACGCGACCCAATTCTTTCGCGATGGTTCTACGATCGACGGTATTCGGCGGCAGAAGATTCGTCGACGATGAAACGACCGTTCGGCGGTAACCGGTCCAGCTGGTCGACGACGTCGCGCACCTGTGCGACGAGTCGAGCGCACGCGTGTGCCATTAGACGAAAGACAATAACCCTGCGAGAGTGATAAACCGTGACGCGTGTATGCGAGCAATATAGAGGCGAAAGGAAGCTAACGCGTCGACACGGGAAGCCTGAAAATGGTAGGTGGGGCTTGAAAGCGTCCCTCGCCGCGAATATATCCACAAGACACGACGTGGTTTTCCGGCGAACAAGCGCCACGACTAGAGAAATCGAGGGGAAGGGAAGGGGGTGAACCGGCAGCCAGGGGTGGGCCTTCTATTTATGCTCGGTGGTAGTTTGAGGGTAACTAGGTGGTAGTGGCTGCTGTCGAGAATCGAGGCCCGATTCTTTTTTCTCTTTCTCTCCCTCTCCTCGCTTTCCCTCCGACGATTATGAAACGCGATTTCGTTTGGGGAATTTTTTTTCTCCGGCCTCCCCGGATCTCTCGTTCCACTCGGAATTGCCGCTTAGATCCGCCGCCGAGGAACGTTCGCGCCCCTGCGAGCCGGAAGGGCTTTCGTCGGGAATCACAGAGGCAAGGAGATTAAATTCGTTTCCGTCACCTGAGCTAAGAGCGAGCGTATTCGTCGCGACAGCTCGTCTGTTCGCGAAATAGTCTGCAAATTGCTTCGTCTTCGATACGGTTGATGATACGACTTTGAAACAAATTGACGCGGCAGACAGACTGCAGATTAATACAGAGGGGAGGACGAGGAGGAGCGGAAGTGTCATTTTCCATTGGAAATCGAGGCGGACACGAGCACCGGGTCGAGCGCTCCTCTTCATCCTCGACCCACCGCTTTTTGTTCCGCTCGTATCGGCGCTTTTTGTGTCTCCGCGTTTCTCCATGCACCTCCTTGATTCATACAATTTCACGGTCGGCTTGGTGCTCGAGCGCCTATCTTCCCGCATCCTCTCTCCCCGCGTCCCTCGCCCTCCTACCGCCTCGTTCAGCGTTCGCGTTCTGTTTTACATAAAGATCAGAGCATTAAAAACGCGGCGCTACACGAAATCAACCCCAGCCGCCGTCTTTTCGTTCGTCCGGGTCCTCCTTCCACGGTACCCTTTTTCTCTAGCCTCTCACATAGAGAGAGAGAGAGAGAGTAACGGAGGGAGATCGCCGGAGCAATTACCACGGCCAGGACACGATCTTACCCGGAGTCTGCTCGCGCGAGAAGATCGTCGAACCCGAATGCGACGTTTGTTTTTCACCGCGCGAGGTCACGGAGCCCTCGCCGCCTCGGAAATTACTTATTACACGCCGCTGTAATAACGCGGCCGACTTCTCCTCTGCCTAAACGGATGTACGCTCGCCCGCTACCGATCAGGCCGCGAACCACCAACCGTTTCTTTTGAACATATCAAATCGAATCGTGTCGGTCTACGAATTTTTCTACTCGCTTATCCCCCCGAGGAAAAAAGTCGCACATAGTCCAAGCGCACCGTACACTTGACAGCAGCCCGCCAGGGACGAGTCCGACGCTCGTAAGAAGACGAGACACGCGTGGAAGGGTTAACAGCTGCCGAGGAACGTGAAAGACGCGCGAACCAGGAATTTTCGGGGCAAAAAAGGCTGGCTGGACCGATCAAAGCGATACCGTTTTGAAATGACGCGACGGTTGCCACGTCCGTCCGTTCGTTCGTCGGTCGGTGCGCCGGGCACAATAACACACGATTTCTCGAGAATCGGAGGCGTGCGCCGCGTGTTTCGTTTTTTCCGGCCTTGCGGCCGCTTTCGATTCGTTTTGTTCGCGTTACTCTCGGAAGACGAGCCGGCTCTCGCTCGTTGCCGCATTGTGCGCCAGTTAATTACGTGCGGATAAACGCACAGTCATAGCAGATACAGTCCGATGTGAGGGCCGCCGGGGCCTTTCAGCGGCCCCGCGGTCGACGGGCGAAAAAATCGGGACGAGGGCACAATGCGAACTGAGAAAAGAGGGGCACCCGGGCTTCGTTCGCCACGGCCTGAAATTGTTTTCATTGTTCCCGCGATTTGTCAGGGTGTGTAATACGGTAGCTAAACTATTAGTCGGTCGCGATATGCTCGCATCTCGTATACGTACTTGTATACGTTGCACGTGGTTCCACGTAACGAGACCGACGGTTCCCGCACCCCCGAACGTTAAAAAAACTTGATCCAACAACGAGCTTATCCCCACGCGAGCCTGCTCGTACCCCTTGGCAATCACGAGGAACGCGGTCGTATCTTGAGCAGTTAAATTGTCATTTGGATATCAAAGGGACGAGAAAGAGGATAAGGGCGGCGGAGGTAATTTGGCTCAGTGAAACGCAAACACTCGGTCTCGCTCGGGATAGAGGTCCCGTGGAATATAACGGTTCCTGACGAACGCACGAATTCACACCCACGCGCCACGAAACAGCCCTCAGCTATTGTTGCTCAAAGCATAATGGAATCTCGGGGCCGACGCGACGAGACGCGACTCGCCTCGCCACGGACGGGGAAACGCGACTTGCCCGGTTAACTGGGATTTAATGGCCTCGCAATTGGATTGTACCATTGCTCGGTGCTCAAGGAGGCGCCATTTCACGCTTGCCGATTACGCTCCCCCTTTTCCTTCTACGACGAGCAAGGCTGCTCTCTTATTCCGTGGCCGTGATCGATCCTCGCGATCGGATCTCGAGATATTTTCAATTCGTGAGCACGAGAATTCATCACGTTTCAACCGACTACCGTCAACGGATTTTGTTTTTCAATTTTCTACGGAGAGGGTTTAAGCTCGTTCTTTTCTTTTAATCTCCGAGGAGACGGGTCGTGAGCTTAACGAAGTAGACCGAAACGGGGTAGCTCCGCGGTTAATTCGGCGCGATATCATTAAAGGGACATTTTCCAGTTTTCACCCTAATCCTTGCGGAATTCAGTGAGCAAACCTGCGGCCCTTTCACGCCTGCCTTCGGTCCCTGGTTATCCCTGCCCCGTCCCCTTCCCTTCCTCCTACTTCGCGCTCGCTGGTTTTCCACTAATTACCGACCCGTTTCATCCTTCGCGCCGCGTTTCACGCCTCGATTAGACTCTACTGTACGTTTCCGAACCTGAACCATGTCCAACGTCGACTCTGATTGAAATGTCTGTACGACTTCGGAATTAATCAATGCAACGTTCTCCCGTTTTCGTCCCGCAGAGTCGCTGGTACAGGAACTGGAGCTAGAGAGAAAATCGCGGCAGCACCAGGCGGCCGAGAGGGACCAAGTCAAGTCTCCTCTTCAAGGTAGGTTCGTCGACGCGTCGAATCTCGAGCAAACACGACCGCCACTGACTTAGTACTATCGGCTAAAAGTTCCCCCGGGAACGATCGCGAGTAGCCTTCTGGTAAAACCTCGAAGAAGCCGGGAGTTCGACTGGAACTCGATTCGCAGGCGGATCAGCGAGCAAGAATTTCTTGCGACGGATAACAAAGTTCCCTGGATCTTTAATTAGAAAGTCTTGGCGGTCGCGTTCGTTCGAGGTGGGGTTGTTTCTTGCCGCGGCGTCACCGGCACACGCCGCCAGATTCAAAACTTGCCTTCGGCCTGAAACTTGTCGAAAGTTTCCGGCAAAAACCGTCTTATAACCCGGCGCCGCGCGATTTCGACGCTCTTTCTCCGTCCCCGTCTCTCTTTCCTTCTCGAGGACTCGATGACGTTGCACGTAAATAATATCGTTTTTTTCCCAGCGACGAGGGGGACCACCCTTCTCAACGAGTGGGCCCCTCGACCGGCCACAGCCTCGAGTCGTACGTTTCAGAAATAACCATTTCATACGAAAATGCGATTATTAACTTTTTATCTAAAATCTCGTTTATCTAAAATTCTGTTCTTCTCGACTCGGAGCGGTGCCGCGATATCCTGTTTTGCGAAACGGGCAAGAAGAGAGGAGGAGGAGGGAGGTCGGTCGACGTGACCGGGAAGAAACGGGGTAAAACGAGAGCCCGATCGACTATTAAGGCTCGTACGGTGATTTTCAATCATAAGCGACAGTTGGATAAAAAGTCGAGTGGCGGCTCGATCACAAAGACGCCCTAAGGGCCGATGAGTCGACCGGTCTCGTATTTACGAACGCGTCCGATAGAGCCTCTCCCTCTCTCTATCCTCCCGAATGTCCGCTGGTCCCCTTCGCGTTCATCTACGTCTCGAGAGGGCAAGGATAATTAGTGAGCGGCGCCGCTTCCAGCCGAGCGATCATCGAATCATTCGGCCGCCGCGCCGGTCCTCTCTCTCGTTCGCGGATCGGTCCCGATATCGAAGAAGCGATTTCGCGCAGCGATGCGACTGATAGCTGGACGCCGGCCAACTCCTGACCCGATTCTGTTTCAGAATCCCGAACGGGTTACTACAAGAATTCCGTTCTGTTCACGAGCGCGACCTAGAAGAGGCTGGAAGATGCCAGGCGGGGCGAGCGTCTAGCGAGCAGCCAAAACGAGTGACCGAGGGACCGCGAACGAACAAGGTGAACGCTGAACGTAGTTTCGTCGTAGTTTCGTGATTCCGCGAGAAACGATCGCACAGGTGATAGAATCGCGAACGGACGATTATATACGCGAAAAGAAAAGTGCGCGAGCGAGTTTGCAACGCGAACGATCATCTCGAACTCGAAGAGTGCTCGAAAGGACCAGAAGTGAGAACGAGGATACACATATCAACGGGCCGAAACGAATCCGGTTCGTTTCTGGGACTCGAGTACGGAACAGTCGCGTCTCGAAACGCTTCCGACGTGCGAAACGGAGAGGCGAAACGATATTTATACGCGAACCACACACGTATACCACAACGTCCCCGAGGATGCGCCGATCGATCGAGGGACGGTCGAGGAAAAAATTCGATCACGATTAATTATCGATGATAGAGGGACGATAAATATTTCTAAAGACTGCTTGAGAGTGCGTGCGCGTGTGCATGCGTTCCTAGAGGTACCTATCTCCTAATTATCGAGCGAATTCAATTAGCTAATCGTGTTTAAGCTGCGCGGGCGATCGGGCGCGCACCGCGCCGGTTTCGAGTATTATTTGAGTATGATTATTATTAATATTATTTACCCGGCTGCGGGGCGCGCCGGGACGATCGTGGAAACAGTGCGAACGAGTACGCGCCTCGGACGTCGCGAGCTCGTCGCTCGAGCACCGTTGACCATCGTTTCCTCGTGAAACGCGGACTTTCACGAACGGAAGTTCGAGCGACCAGCCGCGACCTCGATCGGATTTGTATCATATAGAATGAGTGAGGAGCGCGTGAATGCGTCGTTTATTAAAAAAAACAAAGGCGAATCGTGTGGAAGGAGAGGAGAGAGAATCGTGCGAGAACGAGGCGATGAGTTTACGTAGAACGGCAGCAGCGGCTTCGATCGAGGAGAGAGAGGGGAGGAGAAATGTAGATCGGGGGAGAGGCGGCGGATGATTCTCCCGTGCGTTTTATGAATCGTAACACCTTATTTATATAAATAAACTTAGTTACTATCGTCGACAAGTAAGGCTAATGCATATTTGCGTGTGTCCCGCGTTACGCGTCGATCGGCCGTGCATGGATCGGCGAAATATTCCCGGTGAACGACCAACAGGATGCTGCGAGCGGAGACGGACAGACGGACGACGAGCGTCTTTCGAGCTCGAGCCGCGACGAATATTTCCCCGACGGGCCGATCCCCGTATTTAAGATCCATGTACAAAGTCTTTTGCCCGTAAGGTTCTTGTGTTGTAAAAAAAAAAGTTCACATAATCATAGTGTCTAGATCGTATCGTACCGGCTGACCGGCCGTTAAGACGATGCTACACGTAGTGAAACAAAATGACAAAAAAAAATACGAGAATTTAACCACCGATAGCTCATCTGTATTTGCCATCGCCGCTACCAATCGAACCGGGGTCAACCTCGACGATCGAGAATCGCCGGCGAGGAACTGTCGATTCCACGGGAATCGAGCCGAGAGTATCGAGAAACACATCGTCCCAAGCTCGGCGAAACGACTCGGAGCTTAGAACCATTCGACGAATCTCGCCGGCGGCTCTCGGCCGGTGAGTAAAATTGCGATATTGATGCGAATAAAGAAATTCCGCAGGGGTGGGTTGCGTACAGGGGAAAGAAAACGTTGGGTCGGGTGGGGAAGAACAGTATCGCCACACACTACCGAGTAACGATGACGACGAGCGATTACGATTTCGCGATCGGACTTATACAATCTAGTATCGAAGACAAAAAGTGTATTCATTGTAATTCAGCATTATTACCTATAAATAAATAGTTGTTATTGTAAAGTTGTCTACTCCTGAATCTTTCCCACGTTGTCCTCAGCCTCATCATATATTTCGATAATGAGCACACCGAGAAGAGGCAGGTACACGTTCCTGGGCGCTGTAACGTTCCCCTCAGCTGCTCATAGGAAACGCGGCGAGGGAAAAATGTTTCGAACGAGACACGGTAAGTGAATGCATACTAGATTCGACGGAGTACACGGCCGTTCGACCAAGGGGAGTGGGCGAGCCGTGGAACGGGGTTCGCGTTACAATTACCGGAATCCGGGCGATAGATTCGTCGGGCGTCGACGAAGGAGTCAGATTAAAGGGTGCAACGAGCGGCGGCGGCGACGGGCGACGATGCATTCTTATCAATTTCCAAGCACCCTAACGACCCGAGGCACGCGACGAGTGCCCATTGGCCGAGTCAGGCTCCACCCTTTCGACAGGGAGTATATTTTAATAATAAATAACGACGATCCGGCTTATGGTTCCCGAACGAGTCGCAGTCGCTTAATTAAATCGGCCAGCGAACGTCTTAATAGCTCGTCGACGCGCTTCAGCCACGTTCCACGGTCATGGAACTGGTAACGCTGTAACGTTCCCCTCAGCTGCTCATAGGAAACGCGGCGAGGGAAAAATGTTTCGAACGAGACACGGTAAGTGAATGCATACTAGATTCGACGGAGTACACGGCCGTTCGACCAAGGGGAGTGGGCGAGCCGTGGAACGGGGTTCGCGTTACAATTACCGGAATCCGGGCGATAGATTCGTCGGGCGTCGACGAAGGAGTCAGATTAAAGGGTGCAACGAGCGGCGGCGGCGACGGGCGACGATGCATTCTTATCAATTTCCAAGCACCCTAACGACCCGAGGCACGCGACGAGTGCCCATTGGCCGAGTCAGGCTCCACCCTTTCGACAGGGAGTATATTTTAATAATAAATAACGACGATCCGGCTTATGGTTCCCGAACGAGTCGCAGTCGCTTAATTAAATCGGCCAGCGAACGTCTTAATAGCTCGTCGACGCGCTTCAGCCACGTTCCACGGTCATGGAACTGGTAACGCGGTCACGTGCCCCTGCAGATTCTTTTTATCTATTTGCCAGTGATCCCGCGACTGACCTTCGCCAGATCGAAAGAACGTACTTTCTTATTCCTGTCCCGGTGGAAAGACAGGTTTCCATCGGGGTTACCCAAGAAGAAGAGGGAAACGCACGTTTCGATGCAAATTAACCGCTGTTTCGCTCCGCGAAGACGAGGACCTCCCGCGTCGCGTGTTTCAACTCTCCTCCCTTTTCCCGAGTCTCATCCCCCTCCGGGCTTTTCACCCTTCGCTCGCCTGCGTTTCGCGTTTCAGAATCATAAAGATAACCGAATTGCTCCGGCTCGACTTTTATTCCGAGGACATATTGCCCGACAATCATTCCGGCATTTGCATAATTATCGAATAAAACGGAGACGAGAGAAAGAGAGAGCCCCGAGGCGGTTCTAATGCTAAACGCGAGTACAACTAATTTCGTGCTCTCAAATTTTTTCCTCGGCCGCGCCACGGGGTCGTTCGCCCCTAAACTTACCCCCCGACTTTCCTCTTCTCCTCCCACCATCCGAGCCTGTCGCTTCTTTTCCGTTTCCGCGTCTGGCCGCGCGCGCACCGGAGAGAGCCCCTCGTTCGTCGCGGCCGATTAGCTTAATTCAGCCCCGGAACGAGCAAATTCCTTCTAATTAGAATCGCAACGACCGACGTCCATGACGCTCTCTTTACGATCCGAGCGTCTCATAAAAAGAGAACGATCTCTGGCAGGAATTAGCGAGGAAAATCATTGTTTCTTCCGACAACGAGCGGGCATTCGGTCCCTTTGGCCGCGAGCTAATTTGCTCGCAGTCCACGCTGCGTCTAACGAATCGATTAATTAGCTTCGTTTTGCTTCGCGAAGATTTCTTCGAAAAACAACTGGAACGGGGTGTCCCGAGGGAACGTTTTTTACTCGACCTGCCCTCTCGTCGTGATGTCAACGCGACCGGCGAGGACGGCCGAGCGAGCGGTGAAAAATAAGCGATTTTTTATCGGGGGGACCGGGTCTTGAATTATGCTAAAACGATTTGGCAGCCGCGTGCCAATGGGGATTCGCGGTGGAAAAACAGTCGCGGGATCGCCGCAAAGGACTTGGCGCGGAACTTTCGTCACAGCCGCGAAGAATTTACAATTATAATTACCGGAGACCGGCCACGAGAAGAACGCTTCCAGGTCCTTGCCCTGAGTCTCTAAAACTTGTACAACAACAAAATCCTGAAAAATATTTGTGGAATTCCCCAATGGTCGTGTCGTGTGAAAAGGTCGCGCCAGAATTCACGTAGAATCAATTCACGTACAATGAAATGACTAATAATTTAGAAATCAGAGCGTATATCGCAATCACATAAAAAGGAATACGTTCTAAACTTTTTGAAAGACAATAAGTACCCCAGACTCGTGGGGCGGAAGTGCACGTATAATACTTTTACTCGCGCGAGACTTTTAACGACCGAATTCTCCGAGACTAGAACGCGGACAAAAAATGCTGCCGAGAGAAAGGCGTTGGCGCACGCAAAATCGGTGCCGGGAGTCGTAACCAGCGTTTCATTCCCGTTCTCACATACTCGAGCACCGCGACTAAATTGGAAAGTCGAGAGCACCCCCGCGAAAAAAGGAACCTCGGAAAATTACTTAATTACATGGCAGAAGAACTGTTCTCTTCCTCGAGCGAATTCTACTATATAGTTTCCAGAAGAACTTTCATAAGATACATATTTCAATCGATTTTCGTTTCAAATCAGAGGCGCTGCTTGGATCGTAACTCGAAACGAGATCAGAGATGCTCGTCGAACGTCAGGGAATCCTTTTCGAGTTCCGATGTTGCTCGATACCGAGCAGAGTAAAACAGAAACTAAACGAAGAAGCAAGGGAGAGACTTTGCAGAATCGGAGCAAAGGTAAGGTGGAGGGGTCTGAGAGGTTCGGTCCTGGGTCCAGGAAGCATAATTACACCCTTGCGCGCATCGAGAGTCGACGAGCGAAGGATAGAGAGAGATAGAGATACATGTATATGCTTACAACACTTTCGCGTCGTGGTTCGCGACGGGACCAGACACAAGGAATTTCGTAGTTTGATTTACAGCTGGTCGGGTTCGTCTATCGGGTCCGCGTTTTGATTGCGCTTCCCTCTAATGGAGGGTAAACGGGCTGGCTCCGTTCATGAATTTGTATTAGAGAATCGGTTCTCGGAGTCGCGTTTGCCAAAAACGATCCGGCCTCACGTTTCACGGAGTTTCCCCGTTCCACCGTTTTGCGAGAGGCAACAACCGATCGGAGAGGTAGACCTTGGTCGAAGAATTCCAAGATTGTTGCCCCGTTTTCGGTAGGAGCGCCTTTAATCAGAGACCAACGGGAGTAAAAGAGAAGCGTTGCTCGCAAAGAGAATGCGATTAGGAGAGACGCGAGCAGCCAGCAAGAAGGATTAATTTCCTCGGCGTTCTACGCATTGGAAACACATAAGACGCCTCCCCCGGGGGCTGCCGTATCTCGCTAATCTGTTTAAATAACGAAACATCCCTCGGGGGTGGGCGAGGGTAAGACGGGGCGAAAGGAGGCCGCTGAAAGAGGGAAGGCTGCCGGGGAGGAGTGGGTAAACGAAAATCAATGCATCCGACACCGAGCGAACAACGTCCTTTCGTCTACGTAATGAAATGTACAACGCCAAGAAGCTTCCACCGCCCCGTCCTAGTAGACCCGAACCGCTTCGACCCTCGTTTCCAAGTTGGTCCTCGTCGCGCCACTGGACAAGTCCTCGCTACGGGAAACTTTTCAACTTTACCCTTTCGACGCGCTCTTCGGCTACCTTTCTACTCCAGCTTGGATTAAATCCAAGTTGATTCGCGCGGCATGCTTCGTCGACGAATTCATTTGAAGAACCGAGCGATCTCGTAACTCTGGCAACGATTCGCTTAAATTTTCATGAAATATAATTCGTACGTATTCGGACTGTTAAACCCGTGACGAAGGGCGATTCGTAGCGCGCCCGGGGCAACGGAGGTGAAACAGATCGAGCGTAACTCCGAAAATTCGTTCCGACTGCGCATCAAGATCTCTCGTTGGGTTTCTCCTTCGGTGAACAGAAGCAGGGCCCGGGCCCTGGACCCTGCGCGAGCACGCGGTCTCCGTGAGAGAAAATTTAATAACGAAGCGACGACTCGGGGAACGCGTTATCGCCGCGGAATATCAAAACGCCTCGCCGCCGGGAGCTGCGGCGAGCGTAATTTCGGCGGACGGCAGTGCGCGCCGATACTTATCGCCGGTAATCCGAGTACTACCGAGGGGTGGAAAAAGGAGCAAAATGACAGCCGATCACCGTAGGGGGAAGATCGTGACCGAATGAGGAACGCGCTCGGCTCTGGTGCAACAGATGGAAACCGCTTTCGATTTTGCAGGCGAATCATTACGACCAGACCGGGTCTTATAAATTTATAGAAAATCTGATGCACATCATCGTTTCTAAAGAGTAAAAAAAAACAGAATTGTTTAAATGAACGTTAGAGACGATCTCGATGATCAGAAGCAGTTGGACCGACACTAATGTTTCGAGGGCGAGGGAGGAGCGAAAGCGAGTTTCTCACGGAAGAGATTTTTCCGTCTGTACCGATTAAACATTGGCTGACCACATCCGGCGGTCGTTACGAAGCGAGATGTAACGCCGGTCGGCCCTCGCGCCGCATTCTTGCGTGTAACCAGTGATGGGCACGTCGTGGGATTTTTTACCCACGCGCACTACAAGTTACTAGTAGCATCCTAACGACGTACTTACTTTCTTCAATACAGAGGTACCATTAGGCGCCGAATGGTTCGGGATTCAGGAACTTTTGTCGTCATTGATACCTCAATTGCACACCGTGTATAATATTTCCGAATCGTTCGAGTGTCGAATTTGATTTACTCTCTCCAGTTTCTTCCCAAGATTCCAATCAGTAGAAACGAAGTTTATACAA